CGGATCGATCTCACAGAAAACAATTCAGAAAAATTAGGAGAAAAACCCCATCAAGCCTGCTAAATCTGTATAATTAAACTCCTGCTCCTGCTTCCATTGAATTCAGTGGTACAGGGTTGGTCCCAAGTGACTTTATAGCAGCACGGGATTTTGATTAAGCTTCTTTCTGAATGGCTGCAATTTGGAGTTGTTTCTAATTTTTATTAATCATAATAATCTGGGAATATCAATAGATACTATGCAGTTTATATTAGGTAAAGTTTGTAACCAGCCATTAGCTGCAGATAAATTATTGCAAAGAGCATTAGGGAATGATGTTTGTGTTATGTTGCACTTAAGAAGGTTGGATACCTTTCCATGGAAAATGCTCTGATTCTCTGCTTGGCTAACACAGGGGAGGGTGGACTAGGGGCAACCTCTAACCTGTGCTAGCTAGAAACCGCCCCCAAGGGAGTGTCCAGCAACTGAGCACTTGTGACAGTTGTCATCTTGGCTACAATATGGGGTGTGGGTGGACCAGGGACAGCCACAGCTAAAAGTGTGAGTTGCTACAGTTTGGTCAAAAACGTCAGGCTTTGTAGTCGACGATATTCACACGTCCACAACCTCTGGAGATGAGCATGAGGGGAACATGTAACACACCCCAATAAATGGGTTACACGTCCCCTCTTGCTGCATCTTCTACAGCAGCTTGCCTGTGGGGAGGGTGTTGGGAGTAACATACACCAACTTTTCATACTCTGGGGACTTCTCCAGGTTGGGAGAGTCTTTGACATGGCTGAAACCCCATGCTTCCAGGGCAGAGCAATGGGGAATAGGAATCATTATGGGGAAAGTTCTGTGGGAATCTATGAAGTAGATCAAATATTATGGCCCTGAGTGTGTTCACCTTTCCCATTTCTCTCACTCTCTCTCTCTCTCTCTCTCTGTTTTTACTGCTCTCTCTCTCTCTGTCTCTCTCTCTCTCTCTGTTTTTACTATAACCTACATCTTCCACCATAATGACTATTGAAAAGTCAACTGTATACAGGAGAAGGGGATTCATGTGGACAGTTTGACTGCAATACTTTCAATTGCTGGGCTTGTTGCTGTTTGGTTTTTTGTTATATTTTCTTGAAGTACTTTTTAAAGTAATTTCCTGCAACTAGTATTTCTGCTTGCACTAAAGTCGTCCGTCCAGTTAACGAAGTAGTCCATGATGCTCACAGAAGCATGATAATAGTTCTCAAACTGTAGAGCACAGTACACTTAGCCTTGTAAACAGACACTATGAAATACTGCAGTGGTTTCAAACCAATTTGAGTAGGAGTAGCCTTTAATTATTTTCCTTCTCCTCCGAGAAGACAGGCTATTTGTCAGTGTTTAGAGTATTGTCCTTTTCATTTATTTTTCATTTATTTTTTAAAGAAACATTGTTTTCCCGTCAAAGGCTGCATGTTGCTGAGGTCGGCTGGCTTTTTGACAGAGGCTACGTCTAGAGTTACGGGGGTTTGTAGGGTATCCCACAAAAACTCCGCGTATCCAAGGAACGCATTTGCTCATCTGCTTTTTTTTGCAGAAGAGCAAACCCACTCTTTCGGGGAGCCCTGTATACCTCCTTTCATGAGGCATAAGGGCTCCACCGAAAGAGGAGGCTTTTCCGCCATTTAGCCCCCGCTAGACTGGGCCAAATGACAGAAAAGCTTCTTCCACAAAAATGATCGGAAAAAGCTACGCAAATTGCGGCACACAATTTGCGTAGATTTTTCTCATAGAAGACTGTAGTGTAGCCCTAGCCTGAGCGTACTGTTGTACTTCATTCACAAACTTTGTAGAATCATCATTCACAATGCTGGCCAAAATTAGTGAAAATTAGTGCTTGCATTAAATTAGTGATAGCTATAAATTCTTGTTCTACTGCCGATGTTTTCTGTTGCTGAAAAAGTTGCCCTCTTTTAAGAGCTTGGAAGAATGAGTCTTTCCCCAAAAAGAGGATAAGAATTTGATGAACCAATAAGTCACAATTATTAAAAAAGAAAAATGGCCCCAAATAGAAAATGGTGTCCTCATAATAAATGTGCTGCTGCTGTCATATAGAAACCTTTTATATTGCAGCCCTTAGCTAACGTCTTTGGGCACATACTGTAATACTGATCCCGTTTCTAGTGTATAATGCCATCATGCAGCCTCTAGTGGAAACCGTGTATTCCAGTAGGAGCCTTCAACTGGTTTCTGTGGCGGGTTTTTTGGTCTTGGTCACTGGCCTTGACTGGTTTTGCATGAGGAATCGAGAGCCCTGGAACACACAGACCGTGAGATCCATTGCTTTATACCAATGTCATGTTAGCCAGCTGCAATGGGTAGGAACCAGATTAAATTTTTCAACAGGGCTTTTCACGCAGCCCTCTTGTGTCTGGACAGTGGGTAATCTTGTGGATTTTGATTTTCGCAGCTGGTGGAGCCCTTGACGCCAAGCGGCACAGCGCCCAACCAAGCGCAGCTTCGTATCCTGAAGGAAACTGAGCTAAAGCGAGTAAAGGTCCTGGGCTCGGGGGCCTTTGGAACGGTGTATAAGGTAAGTGTATTCACTGAATTGCATCAGAACCCTACAGATCACTGAAAATGTTCCATCTCAGCGTGGGACCCAGCTCTTCTCTGCACAAGAGATGGGCTTGCAGTCCACACCACATACCAGGGGATCCTGCCTACGTCTTTGGTTTCATCTGTTGATTTCAGCTTTGCTTGGAATGAACACAAGGGTTATTCCATGTAGAGAGAAACATTTTCACACAAACATTGAGACCGGAGGAATATATAGGATGGAGAACTAAAGAACATGAATGAGATTTTGTGGTTCTCTTTCTAGCTCCATAATTGATGTAGTGGCCAAGCCAGTTAATCTCTCTACCTCATTTGACCACACTGTAAAATGTGTATAATTCTTACGTAATAATAGAAACATAATTAGCTATGCTTTGAGCCTGATCCCATTAAAAAATAATGGCAAATTACCCTTCATGTTTATTAAACACTTTGGATTCTTCAATCCAAAGGTCATGATTAAAAAGTGCTTAGAAGTACTAAGCAGGATTGGTTGAAAAAGAATTTGGTGGGGGATGACATTTCCGCCATTTCTTTTTCAATTAAATTTGTGATAACGTTTTGAAATTCCAAGAAAAATGACCTGAGAAGATGGAGGGGAATGTGCGAACTGTTTGGGAGAGAAACTCCTTGTGATAGAAAACTCCTCCCTGGCAGCTTTTAAGAACTGTGTGGGCAAACACCCATCAAGGATGATTTACATTTACTTAAAAAAAAATGAGTCCTATGGCACCGAAGACACTACCAGATTTCCTTAGTGCCTCAGAACAGGGGGCTGAAATAGATGATCCCTGGAGGACTCTTCCAGCCCTATGTTTCCATGATTCAATGTACTTACTGTGTGTGTGCTGAGTTCTGCTGATCCTTGCTGAACAGGATAACACATAAAGAAAAGAAACAAAGCTGGCGATAAAGATTTAACAATTGGTGTAAAGTTATTTTTTGTCTCTTTTTTCCCCCCCCAGGGTATTTGGGTTCCCGAAGGAGAAACAGTAAAGATTCCTGTGGCCATTAAAATCCTTAACGAGACAACTGGTCCCAAAGCAAATGTGGAGTTCATGGATGTAAGTAAGAGTATACAGACTCTCTGTCCTTACCCATATGTAACATGCTGGTGTTGACAGTGGGGAGAAAAACAATCTATAATCGCCACAAATTGCAAAGAGGACCTTCTGCCTAGTTTTTTATTTCTTTACATTTCAGCGTCGAGGATGCCTGGGTAAGAGCTCTAAGAGCCCTAACAATTAAGTCTCTGGCTATGCTGTGATCTAGCCATGGCATGTACAAATCCACCTGAAAGTAGCGAGTATGTCCCTGGCAGAGCTCTGACTAGGCCTTTGATGCTGCTGCTACCCGTGTTACCACAGCGATCCTGCCATATATACTTGTGCTAGCTAAATGAGAGCTAGCGTGCTCATGTGCACAACCCTTACCTCTCCTGCGCCTCCCCCCTGCCAGTTTGGGAACTTCTCCTCAGCCCTCTCTACAATGGCTGTCTTCAAAAGTAAGGCTCACCACCTCAGATGTGTTTAGGGGGGAGGGAGGATAGCTCAGTGGTTTGCTAAACCCAGGGTTGTGAGTTCAATCCTTGCAGAGGCCATTTAGGGATTTGGGGCAAAAATTCATCAGAATGGTACTTGGTCCTGCTGTAATTCTATGAAAGCTTATTTATAAAAATAGGATCCCCACCTCTCACAAGCAACACTCTAGTTTATTAAAATTGAAGGGCTAATAAAACTTGAATATACTTTTTCCACAGTTACTTTGCCGTATTTACACTTGGTTGCTTATTGCAGCTCCCAGACCAGCAATGCCTGGTGCTGCAGGAAGTTAGAGCAGCCGGGGACCTACTCTGGCTTCTACCACTGAGGACCTCAAGCCAACTGAATCAGAGAATCATAGGGTTGGAAGAGACCTCAGGAGGTCATCAAGTCCAACCCCCTGCTCAAAGCAGGACACACACCAACTAAATCAACCCGGTTTGTCAAACCGGGACTTAAAAACCTCCAGGGATGGAGATTCCACCCCCTCCCTAGGGAACCCAAAGAAGACCAAGCATAGTAGAACTCTGTTCTACCAAGTCACATTTACACGCATGCCCTACCACCTTCCCCTCTATTCCTCTAAGGGATCAGGATCAATGCACAAAGGGCGGAAGGGCTGCCTCCTTCCTTTATGCAGAGGTCCTCTCCACTGGGGTTGTCCACAGCTCTCTGTCCAGATCTTGTAAAGCCAGTGTTTTCAGCAGATTGGAGAAATTGGCCCTTTCTATATTGTGGCATTATCTTTACCCCAGTGTTCTGGGGCATTTTCTATATAGAGACCGCGGTATGATAATGTTTAGGGACAGACCTGCTGGTATACACTGCCTGCTTCCTTGGAGTGTGACTGATTAAAAAAAATAATGGAGATTGCCTATTTCCTAGAACTGGAACTAGAAGAAACCCTGAATGATTGCCTATTTCCTAGAACTGGAACTAGAAGGAACCCTGAATGATCATTGAGTCCAGTCCCCTGCCTTCACAGCAGGGCCAAGCACTGTCTAGATTATCCCTGAGAGGTATCTATCTAATCTGCTCTTAAGTATCTCCAGTGTTGGAAATTCCACAACCTTCCTAGACAACTTATTCCAGTGTTTAACCATCCAGATAGTTAGGAAGTTCTTCTTAATGTTAAATCTAAACCTTCCTTCCTGCAATTCAAGCCCATTGCTTCTTGTCCTATCATCAGAGGGCAAGGAGAACAATTGTTCTCCCTCCTTCTTGTGACACCCTTTTAAATACTTGAAACCCACTCTCATGTCTCCTCTCAGTCTTCTCTTTTGCAGCTAAACAAACCCAGTTCTTTCATCCTTCCCTCATATGTCATTTTTCCTAGACCTTTCATCATTTGTGTTGCTCTTCTCTGGACCTTCTCCAATTTTTCCACATCTTTGTTGAAATGTGGTGCCCAGAACTGGACACAATACTCCAATTGAGGCCTAATCAGCACAGAGTAGAGTAGGAAGTATGAGTTCTCATGTCTTACTCACGACACTCCTGTTAATGATCTATTTTATAGTCCTAGAGTCCGTAACTGCGATTTTCAGCTCAGTGCTAAGAAAGAAAGGCCATTGACATTATGAACATGCCTGTCATATGCAGGGACAGTATTTTGACAGTCCACATGAGTTTTCTGCTTGTGGTGGGTTTTTTTTGTTGTTTTTTTGTTTTTTGTCAAGCCCTAAATTATAAAATTTGTCTTCTCAAATGGGAAGTTACTGAGGCATTTGCATTTCTAGGGTTGTGTGTGTGTGTGTGTGTGTGTGTGTTGATTAGCATTAATGATAGCAGAATCCAAACGAAGACTATGCTCCCATTATGTAGTCTACTCTGTCATTGAGAAACCAGCAGAAATGTGCAATTACAGCTTCAGCTATTTCAGACAAATTACCGGGTCTGAACTCTCAGGCAGTCAGGCTGACACTGAGATCAAGGTATTTTCAACGCTGTTCAGAACACTGCACGGTTCATGCTAATGACATCAATAATCATTGTTCACAAACAAAGAAGTAAGCAAACGTAAGCCATGTTGACTCCTGGTCTGGTAGAAACACACAGAGGAGAAGGGCGAAGGAGGACTGAATGTTAACTTAATGGGCAAAATAACTCTGACTTCTGAGTGAGTAGTAATCACTCTAAATATCTGAAACTTTAGGGCTTGGTGCATCACAGTCAAGTCTCCCTGGGAAATAAATGTGCAAGGAACAAAGAGCTATTCAGTGGCAATGAAGCCTCTATACTTAATGGCAGAATTCAATTATTTGAGCCAAAATCCCAGATAGTGTAACTTTAGCACAGCTTCATTCACTGGAGCTGCGTGGTTCAGACCAGCTGAATATCTCGCCCTGTCTGTTGATAAGGCATTAAATAAGAGAATAATAATATATAATTGTGCCTACATAATTCTTGTCATCCCTGGATCACAAAGCACCTCAGAAAGGAAGATGGGGGTACTGGGCACAGTATCAGCAGGTATGAGATCTCAGCAATCATGTTAGGGTCAGTCCCATATCAAATCACTGTCTATTGGAGGCCTGTCCTCTACCCCACCCTGCCCCAGCCCCACTGGTCACAAAGTGGAGAAAAATGAAAGATTAAGAGTCTGCTTAGTTCCATGCCCAGACTGTCAGCTGTAGCTCTGTGAGGCTACATCTACGCTGCACAGTTATTTCGGAATTAGCTATTCCAGAATAGTTATTTCAAAATAGCACATCTACACTGCAGGGAAGCCTCAAAATGAGTCCGAGGCAGGCTTCCTTAATGTAGACGTGTTATCTCGATTTAGAGCCCCAGGAGGAATAACTTAGAATGGGCCTGGTGAGGGGCTATTTCGAAATAGCAGCAGTGGAATGTCTACACAGGCCTTATTTCGAAATAGTTACTTTGGAAGAGGTGTTAGTCTTTGTAGATTGGGGTTTACAGAAGTCAGAATAAGCCGCCCGTTATTTCAAAATTATTTCGAAATAACAGAATTGTGTAGACGCTCACATAGTTATTTTGGAATAACGGCCATTATTCCGAAATAACTTTGCTGTATAGACACACCCTGACATGGGACAGCAAGATGGAGAGGAGATTAGCTTGTCGTGATGCCTTTTAGTGGATGCTGCTGTTACACAGGGATCACAAAGTCTGCTTGCATCACCGAGGACTTTCTATAACTAGAGATCATTGACTCTGCTGCCACAAACAATCTCCTTCTGTAAAAGTAACCACCAATGCCCGTTTTATTCTGATCTCTTGGGAGATATTTTCCCCTGGCCTATGGTGTGTTTTGGGAATGGAACCCTGCTCTCACTGGTAGCTTTTTAACATTAATCTAAGGGAGTTAGGTCTTGCTTACACTTAAAAGTTTTGCTGCTTTCACTAGAGTGATTTGAGATCTCCTGATGAAACCATTTTAAGAGTTCTCATTATGAGTGTAGATTCAGGTGTGCTGATAGCACGTATGTCAGTTGATCTTATTCATATTTGGTGGAGCAAAATAACCTATACTGATATAAAGCACCTTATACCGGTATAACTCTATTTACACTGAGCCTTTTATTGGCCTACCAAGTCAATAACTATCACAGCCCAATAATGAAACTTTAAGTCCTAGCAATTATGCTGTTGTGGTCAAGCCATTTTACAGACACCTCCCAATGGCTTGCTTAGTTAAAAGCACCTAGGTTTCAATCCTCCGCAGGCATGCAGTAGAAGTGTGCCTCTTGACAGGAATCGTTTCCTACGTCGTGATAGGTGTCCTTGTACCTTGCCCTTAAAACTGATAAGTGAGCATTGCTGTCTGAGAGTGTATGTAAAGCACAGAACCCATCAAAACCTCCCTTTCAATTCGTGTATACAAGGCTATATTGTCAGTCACATGAAGGATGTAAAGAAATACCTAGTATCCCATACAAGACCGAGAGATTAGCGGTAGGGCCCATTGGTTTTTGTTAAAACTTTTAATGTCGACAGAGGGCAAGCCAGAGAGTGCTTTACGGCCAGTGGAGAACCTGCTAAATGTTGCACTAAAAGAGAATAAGGCACGGCAATTTGGCAAGTGGACTGTCATTTCTGCACCCTGGAACACCTGCTAATGGATCCATAATGCTTATAATGGTATAATGCATCATGATAGCATGTGCTCTGGACATCTCCCTCCTCCTGTCAGGCAATACCGAGTGTCTTAACAAAAAGCACCCAATATCTTTGGCTATTTCTTCAAAAAAAGTATAGAAGACGGTATTTTCCTTGTGTTCTTTATGCGCTCCTGGTACGGTTCTTCCGTCTACTTCTCCCACCGATCACCATAGTAGCAAATGCCCTCCAATGCTGCATACTGCAAGGAAAATTCCACTAAAAGGCCTTTTTTTCTCCCTCCTCTCCAGGAGATTGCAGGAATTAAATCTGTGTGTGAACTTCCATCTCTGTCTCCTGAGCAAAGGTAGTTGCTGCTGTTGGGGGAAGACTAGGCCAAAAAGTTCTGAACTTAGTTCAAAAGCTAGTGAGGTCCGTGGCTCCTTTCAGCTATTCACAGC